TCGGTGGCTGCTTTTCACAGGTTTGTAGCTTGGTGGTGAATATATCAACCATTGCCAATTCAGTGACGTCTTTCGATGGTACTTTGCATTTAGCTCAAAGCTTGAATTAGCATGCAGTGTAAACTAGGCACAGAGGTGCTTTTAATGGTCTTAGCAGTGCTGCTGCTTATGGTGCCTCGATTACAAGGCATCGAATGCCTCCCTGTTGATGCATGTTAGTTGCGCTTATGTATGTATATATTACGTCCATAGGACCATCAAAAAATGGAGCGTGGCTGTTACAGTCCAGTGTAAAAAACACAGGAGATAACAACGTGCAGACAATAAGAACAAAACAATCACGACAAACATTTACCGATCCTCCGGCAGCCAATAGCATTAGCGCTCAGCCAGGTGCGCTTTCACGCGCGTACGAAGCGCTGCTGTGTTAGTTGCGCGATGTCGGCTGGCAGCGCATAACACAATGCTGGCGTGTGGTATCCAAAAAGGTCTAAAACCGGCCTCGGTTCTCGCCAATGGAGGTGTAGGAGCCTGCACTGCTGAGTGGGTCGGGCACGTGTGTGACGGCTTAACACGAACGTACCCTTATTTAGAGTTAAACTAAAGTTACCAGAGCGGCTGTTCCGCGTTCCGCAGAGCACGGAAAGGTTCTGCGCCTTTCCCCTGGAACTGCATCATCCTGGAGGTCGAATGAAGAACTGAACGTGTAAATACAAATCATGAATGCATAGATATTGGAAGATACGAAACCTGGCTAACTAGGAACGTTTATAAGCTTCGCGAAAAAAACGCGCGTGGCTTTCTCCTCCAAACCAAAAGCAGAGTTGTGCAAACTGCTTTTGAGAAAAAAACAAGATGTAGTTGAAGCACGTTGTTTAGTCTCCTGCAACGTCTCATTACGCCAACGACCGACGAGACTGAAGACGGTGCGAAGGAATTATCGCTCCCGCCTTTCTTGATATCAGAAGATCAGCTGGAGATGGCCATCTTTGGTGAATCTCCATCTTCCTGTGCGGAGTTGGTTGCAGCCAGCCGGAGGAACCGTTGGGAGTCCTTTGGGGTCAAAAGGTCTATAGGGAGATCGGTATAAGGTGCATCTTCTGTCTGCTTAAGATT